ATTCCAATAGATGGTCAAAGCAAGCAAGGATAACAATCAGTTAGTATCAAAGGGGTAGCCGTGTTAGTCTGAATCTGTAAAAAGCAACAGAGGGTCCTGTGGCACCTTTAAGACTAATAGAAATATTGGGAGCATAAGCTTTCGTGGGTAAGAACCTCACTTCTTCAGATGAGATTCTTACCCACGAAAGCTTATGCTCCCAATACTTCTGTTAGTCTTAAAGGTGCCACAGGACCCTCTGTTGCTTTAATCAGTTAGTAGGTTAAGCATAATTAAACAAATGATGGTGGTAAAGATATCCAGTTTTACTTTAATACTTATTATTGGAAGGTTTAAACATAGAAACTGACATCCATTGAATAAGATTCCAGGTGTCTTCCAGATTATTCAAACACTCAGTAGTATGCCATTAAATATTAATAGGCCTTTCATCTGATTAAATCTTTTGTTCACTACCTATTAAAACATTTTAAATTTGCTTAAAATATTGGTTGCTGTGTGTTTTCAAAGGGTGAAATTCACCATACTGCCAAAGACCAAATAAATCCTTAAACTAGGCCTGAACTGGTGTAATAGGCACATATGAGTTTATGCAAGCCCTCAACATTAAGTGAATTTCATCCTGCACATCCATCTCAAAAATCATGATTCAGTCATGAGTTAACATTTTAATAACCCAAGCCAGTTCTCTTAGAGCTTATGCCATCTGAGACCATACTGAATGCAAGGGAAATAACTGAACTACTGAATTGTAATTAATTGCAACAACCAGAGGAAAGTTATTTTCCTAACCAATACTTGAAAATAATCTGAATGTTTACTAAAGTGGTAGCATCTAAATAGACATTAAAAGACATTTCAATGTTTCATTTCAGAGACAAAAGACAGATTTACACAACAAATACAATTTGCTCTATGGAATGTATTTACTAAAATCTGGGTGCAGTTAAATGGTGAAAATGTTAAATTTCTATAAAACAGTATTGTACAATAGCAACAGAAACATTTTACTGGTAAATGCTTTTATTTGGGTTATGAGACCTAGCTTAATCTGTGACAACCTATCCATATAAACGTCTCTGCATCATATACTGTAGCACTATTTATCAATATGCTTTAATTTATATTCCACTTTACCCCATCCAATACGTCATAGGTTAGCAATTTCCAAGCAAACAATCCAATTTGAATAGTGACCTAAATAATCACAGTGGTCATCAACGTAAGGAGATTATGTCATCAGAACTGAATTATTCACAAATTTAACAAACCTTGTTATGTTAACATGCTATTTTGTAACCATACAGAACACAGGAAAAAAGATTAGAGTCATACTTTCAGCTTTCACACAAGTTTTTCTACCCTCTTGCTCCAGTCAGAATCTAACCAAAGTGATACGTGCTACAATGTTGTTTTGCAATTATTTTTAGAAAAGTAATTTTTACATTTTCTTGCTGCTTCCAAAGAGTGACACTGATGCTGGGACTGGGAAGTAGCAGAATCAGTCAAGTCTGTTGTCTTTTGAAACAGTGGTAGTACAAAAGACAGTAGGAACTCAAAACAAAACAAAAATCCAAAGAGTCCTGCCTCCTCCGGAGCACAATTTGTACTTCTTTTGAACCTCTTAAATAATTTTGCTTTTAATTTTTAAAAGCTAAATCAGAAGCAGGGCTTTTATTTTTACTTAATGCAAATTCTGTTTACTCATGGAACTAGGGTTGCCAACTTTCTAATGGCAGAAAACTGAACACCCCTGCCCCACCCCTTCTCCAAGATCCTGCCCCCACTCACTCCATCCTCCTTCCCTCCATTGCTCGCTCGCTTATTTTCACCGGGCTGGGGCAGGGGGTTGGGTTGTAGGAGGGGGTGAGGGCAGGCTCTGGGGTGGGGCCGGGAAAGAGGTATGAGGGGGCTCTGGGCTGTGGAGTGGAGCCAAGGGGTTTGGAGTGTGGGCGGGGGTTCCAGGCTAGGGGTTGGGGTGCGGGAGGGGGTGAGGGAGAGGGCTCTGGCGTGGGGCTGGGGATGAGGGGTTTGGGGTGCAGGAGGGGGCTCCAGGCTGAGGCCGAGGAATTCAGGGTGCGAGAGGGGGCTTCAGGCTGGGGCAGGAGATTGGGGTGCAGGAGGGGGTGAGGGCTTTGGCTGAGGGTGCGGGCTCTGCGGTGTGGCCGGGGATGAGGGGTTTGGGATGCAGGAATGGGCTCTGGGCAATTTTTCTGCAAGAGGGGGTGAGGGGGGCGGGCTCCGGGAGGCGCTTACCTCAGGTGGCTCCCAGGAAGCGGCATCACGTCCCTCTTGCTCCTAGGTGGAGGAGTGGTCAGGCAGCTCTGCGTGCTGCCCTTGCCCCCAGGCGCCACCCCCACAGCTCCCATTGGCCGCGGTTCCGAGTCGGAGGGACATGCCGGCTGCTTCCCAGGAGCCGCACGGAGCACTGGACTTTTAACAGCCTGGTCAGCGGTGCTGACCAGAGCCTCCAGGGTCCCTTTTCGACTGGGCGTTCCAGTCAAAAACCAGACACCTGGCAACCCTCCATGAAGCAGTAACTGCATGGATAGTGCTAAACTACCTTGTCAGTGTGTTTCAACCTGTTCTCAATGGACTAGTAGGATGGGAAGGTATTTCAGTAGTTCTTCACTGAAACTGCTATCAAGGATGCCAGAGGAATAAATACCAGGGAGGGAGGGGAATTATTTCAGCTCAGTACTAATGTGGACACGAGAACAAATGGATATAAACTGGCCGTCGGGAAGTTTAGGCTTGAAATTAGATGAAGGTTTCTAACCATCAGAGGGGTGAAGTTCTGGAACAGCCTTCCGAGGGAAACAGTGGGGGTGAAAGACCTCTCTGGCTTTAAGATTAAGCTTGATAAGTTTATGGAGGGGATGGTTTGATGGGATAATGTGATTTTAGTCAATAGGTCAATAACGTGCCATCGCTGGTAATTAGTAACAATGGTCAATGATGGGATATTAAAAGTTACTACAGAGAACATTTTCCGGAGGGTCTAGCTGGAGAATCTTGCCCGCATGCTCGGGGTTCAGCTGATCGCCATATTTGGGGTCGGGAAGGAATTTTCCTCCAGGGTAGATTGGCAGAGGCCCTGGAGGTTTTTCGCCTTCCTCCACAGCATGGGGCAGGGGTCGCTTGCTGGAGGATTCTCTGCGACTTGAAGTCTTTAAATCATGATTTGGGGACTTCAACAGCTGAGTCAAGGGAGAGAATTATTCCAGGAGTGGGTGGGTCAGCTTTTGTGGCCTGCATCATGCGGGAGGTCAGACTAGATGATCATAATGGTCCCTTCTGACCTTAAAGTCTATGAGTCTATGAACTAAAATATGAAATGCAGTCCAACGAGAAATAGACTGGCACCACCAACTTATTTCAGAGAGACCCCCAAACAGCCATCAGATGACAAGGATGTTTATTCATTGCTAAGTAATGTCACATTCAAACCAGCAGTGACCAAGGGTTGGCTGGATTCAAATCCCATTAATAATCCATCTAGTTATTCTGTCCCCTAAAAAGGGAGATGTTTAATATTCCTGAATTGTACTTGCAAATAAAAACTTAATAAAATAAATCCACTAATAAAGCATAAAGTAAACCATCACTATAACTAGCAGTTTCATTTTAAAGTAGTGACATTGTTTTTGTTTGTGTTTTAATTTGATAACTTTTTAATTTTCATTAAGAAGTCATTATAAATATGACGAAGTATGAAAAAAGATAAACCAATAAAGTACACATTTCACAAAAAAGAAAAACATTAAACATCCTATAAGCCATTATAAAGACCCCATACATCCCAAGGGAGAGAAAGAAAAAAAAAGTATCCAACTACAGTTAGCCCAACTATAGTTGTAAGGGCTGAATCCTGAGACCTGCTGAATACTCTCAGCTACTACTTAAACACCCCAATCTTGCAACTAGCTCCACGGAGGGACAGCCAGTTGCAGGACTGGGGCCGAAGTTAACTCAACACCATGTAACAGGTTCAGGCTTTAAGGATAGGAAATATTATTTAAAAAATAAGATGGGTGAGCAGATACTTTCTGACACCACGGTGACAACACCTTAGAAATACCCAAGATAGAAGCAGTAGGTAGAGACTATACCAGTCAGAAAAATGTTGCAATATAATTTCTACTGGGAATTCAGGAGCAATGCCAGAGTAACTGGTTCATTTACTAATGGCTATTCTCAAAAGGTTTAGGTGATCAGAAATAAGCAGAAGACAGTCCAAAACAGTTTACACTTTAACAAAACAAGGCATCATATAAAGGGAAGAAAGTGAGGGAGGAGAAAACATTAAAATATATACAGTCTTTTACAGATAACCTTTTCATATACATTTTCAATTTAAAAAAAAATTCTCAAGTGCCATTTAGTTCCTGCCCTCCATGCCCTCAATAACTGGCTGATTTCTTATAGCCATTACAGAAGGGGTAGGTTTTGCAGAAAGAGGACAGTGGCCGTATGGATCACTTCAGAGAAGACATTCCATGCATAATGGACAGCATGGAAATATTTGTGAGAGAAACTAAAAGGGACTGAAAAGATGAGCATAATTTGTAAAATACAATGAGGTAAGAAAAGAAAAAAAAGATGAGTTGAGAGGGGCAGAGCTAGGAAGGGACTTGGAGGCCAGAACAAGAAACTTGAACTTATTGCAGCAAAACAGGGAGCCAGTAGAGGGATTTGAACAGAGGAATGATTTGGTCATGCAGTGAGAACAACAAGTAGGCAAGATGATCTTCACTGATGTGTTTTATATGAACCCAAGGAGAGTGATATGGATGACAGGGAGCCTGGAAAGGAGACAGTTACACTGTAACATTTTTCCTATTTGATGCAATTAAGAAGTTCACCACATATTAAGGGGCACTGACTGTAACAGTGATTACTGTATCATTAGGCTTTTGCAGGACGTTCTTTACAAAGTTGATTATACTGTAACTAGTAATAAAACAAACAAAAAACAAACATTCAAATCAGTAACATACCAGTTCCATTAACTGTTTTAGCTGACCTATCTCTTCTGGAAGGGAACCTAGCTTATTGTTACTTGCAATTAAGACTTTTAGAGGAAGACCACACAGGCAAGCTGGCAAAGAAGAAAGCTGATTTCGACTGCAACAAAAGAAACAAAAACAAACATTAAAAATACAAGTTACATTCTATTGTATCCTCACTTAGAAAATCTGAGATTACAATGTGCTATTTAAAAAGTCCAGTTATTGAGATATCTTGATATATCAACTTGCATGTACATAAAAGTTTTGGAATAAAAACTGCATTAAAACATCAAACATAAGCAAAATTAGAAAAAGATCTCCATTTAGTGAACAAAACAGCTTTATGGAATATCACCATCCTGAAACAAAAGAATTAATTTTATCAGTTTACTCATGAATATACTACATGAACAAAGTGACATCAACTTACAACAGCTGTTTTCCTTCACAACAAATGCAGGAAACTCAATGAGGGCAGTAGCTGCAAGCATTTTAAAAAAAATCTATGATTTTACTGAAGTAAGCATAAATATGACACTTTTTTCCCCAGCTAACTGAAAGACAGGCTAACAACTGATCATAGAAAAAACACTGGCATGCCTCCGGTTCTCACAAACACAGCTACATGCGAAGACTTCTCTCTGTGTCTGTTGCAACCCGTTTTTCCCCCAGGTATTTGAAGCACTGAACATTCTTTACAGCCTGAAACTCTTCACATATTTCAGATTGGAAAAGCCAAATTGTTTATTCTCTTACCTGATCATTCGTTTTCTATGACTTGATCTTGCAAAATAGACTATAGTGTTTTCTCCCTCTTTGGTAACAACAATAGAAAAGATGGCAACCAACCAAATCCAACATTTATTAATGAACTTTACTATAACACATCACCACATTATATGAACACCTCACATATATTAAAGTTACCTGTGAGTTAGGGATGTGTTATCATACTTATTTTGCAGATGGGAAAACTAAGGGACAGGAAATAAAATTACTTGCCCAAGGCCACACAGGAAGTCTGTGGCAGAGCTGGAGAGTATACTTCAAGGCTTCTGATTCCTAATACTGTGATTAAACCACAAATCTATCATTCTCCCATCCTTGAAAAGTTTCTCCTTCATTGTTCCTCCTTTGCACATTCTTTGCTCCCCAGTTTGAGACAATCTTTATGTGAAAGAATGAAGGTTAGCCTGCACTTCTCATCCCTAACAGGAACTTCCTTTTTCTAAATCTCATAGGATAATGTCCATCAGGCTGGGTTGGTGTATTAATCAACTCAGTTACACACAGAGTTAACTGTTAGTTTGTTTTTCTGTGACTTTGATCAGAACAGTGTTCTAAACAACAGTATCTGACAGGACTCTCAGAATGCAGAGGCTAATCTGAATGGGAAGACACCAACTATGATCCCAATCATTTCTTCCATTAAAAGAGAAACCTCAAAGGAGGGTTGTCTCCAAACCTGTCTCAGCCAAATGCAGCAGTCACCAATGCCTGATCAAGGTGCCCAGCACAGTTTATCTAACAAGGCTTCACCTCTAGCTGTCAAGGAAGAAACTACAGCCCAGTTGGTGTATGCTCTGATCCTGATCAGGAAGGACACTGCTGCTGTGATTCTTATATACAATTCTTTAAGCACAATGGCATATCAGGAAGCCTCAAGGCCATCTGAATCCTTCAAAATGGATAAACAGTAAATCAACCTTTGTAAAGGCTCTGTTCCCGCAGAGAAATTTTAAAAGTAACCCCACAATTTTTTTTTTTAAAAGGTCTTGTGCTCATCTTAGTTTCTTTCTGGTGTATAAATATGAGCTGAAAGGGTCTGTGGTTTCTTTCTTTTTTTGCTTTAAAAATAATTGGACATCTTTGTTAAGAATTCAACAGGCCAACTCTTTCAGTTAAGGAGTGAGCAATCACAATGCATTCCTGAAGTGAAAAGTTCAGGGTTCTTGGCATGAGATGATGGAAGAAGCAGAATTACCTGGATATCTGAACTGTTAGAAGTAATGCCTAAAAATTCTCCAAAAAAACATAGGCACAACCAGAGTAACACACCAAGTGAGGAGGGAAGGTTCCCGCCTAATAGCCTGATCCACAATGCTATGCAAGCCACCAGAAAAGTGCTGAATTAGCAGCAACACACAGAAAACACCCAAGTCATATCATTACAACTGTTAGTTCTGGCCACAATGTTTCAGAAATTCCTTCAAACTTTCTTAAGGTGAAAAAGCAGGGAATTCTGGATCCTAATGAATTTCAGACTATTTGAGCCGATATAGCTGATCTGAAAACCTAACAGCAGAAGGCTACAAATTAAATCTTTTCTTGATAGTTCCTTGCAAACTTATGTCTACCGGGGGCCCCTCAAACAAGCATTAGGTGTTTTAGGCAGGTCAAACAGAAAAGAGTTAAGTTCACCTTATGGAAGAAAGCCATTTATCAGAAAATTATTCTGGGGGTCTGTAGAACTAGAATGCCGATTTAGGATCCAAGGTGGGACAGGCTGTTTCCATAGCACTGAGAGCTAAAGAGTGAATAATGAGAACCCTTGTTCTTGTCCTTTAACCAGAAATTCTGGAAGACCTTTTGAATCTCTCTTCTCCACTAAGCTTCCAAACCACATTGCAGAACAAACATTTCTCAGCAGGTAAACCCAGTTCTCATGAATTCTGAGTTTGAGGTTTAAATATCAGTTTCAGACCCAATGGAGGCTTTTTCTTCCTGCGAAGGAGCAACTTAGCAATCTAGATAAGGAGAGATGAGTAGGAGCTGCAGCATTATATAGTTGGCTGTAGCTGAATGGTTTAATCAAAGGAATAAATCTAAGACTCTGGAAAAAGCATAAAAAGAAAAACAGTTGGGGTAACACAAGACTGGCTTCTTTGGGACTTTTTCTTGGTGGAGAACAAAAGGAACCTTGTTTAGATTGGAATACTAAACAATATTCATATACTCGGGTAAGCAGAACAGAGAAAAAGGCAGAGGGTTGGGAACCTTCACTCCCTTCACCTGGGGTTCAGATTGAGCTGATCAGCAGTGAAGTGCATCAGCACCTCTTTTATGCTTTTTTGTTCTCCAGAATCTAAGCTTTCATTTTAAATAAATAAAACTACAACTCTAGCTGCTATCTTGCTGGGACAGCCTCAAAGACATGAACTGAAACAGTCACTTTTGCAAATGTATGCAAAATTTGGAACAATAGCTCTCAAAGTGTGACCTACCTTATTCATTTCAAAGGATGATAAGGTGCCCAATGATAATATTTTAAACGTCAATATTTTTAACATTTCACTGATCTTCAAAACACATAAGGTGGTGAGGGTGGATCATATTACGACAGCCCATTTTGTCACCACAAATGACTGGGTTTGGGAGAGTACTGCCACTTCCTCCCATAATCAAGTAAGAGCCAAATCCTCACAGACATAGAAGTCTCACTGCAGGTAAGCCAAGCATAAGGGGTCTAGCAGAGCCCATGGTATATTCAGAATCCACTGAGAAGGAATTCAAGGAGATCAGAGAATGCATGATCATATTTTGAACCTCTGCAGTCTACTGTGAGCAGCATCTCATCCGGGGAGAACTCCTGTTGTGGATGGAGCTCACTACATTTCTCCCGATATACAATCTGACCTCTGCTTCCAACTAAGGTTCATCCTCCCACTACTGCTTTAGCTGGAGGGACTGTTCCATCAGGTAAGCTGCTTTTTCCCCTTCTTCTGACTGAGTTCTGAAGAGTGCCTGTCAGGTGCTACCTCTGGAGCAGTGGTTCTCAACCTGCGGCCCAATCAGCACAGAGCTGCAGCCCATGTGACATCCTCAAGGCCATACAGGTAGTATTGGATGCGGCCCGCAATGGTAAGTAGGTTGAGAACCACTGCTTTGGAGGAAGCCAGGGCTGTCCCAATAACAGCAGCTCTCACAATATGAATACAATGTACCATAGCAGCAGGGGGTGGAAAGTTGCTACGGGAAACACATTTTTTGAAGTTCTCTTTTTAATGTTAGGGTTCTCTGGAACGTTTTATTTATTTATTTATTGCATACTCAAGTGCTGCAAAGAAGATGACGTGCAAATGGGCCACATGGTCATTCTCCTGCATCTCTGCAGTAGCAGGGGGTATTCCAACAGAGAGCTGGGTTACAGTGAAGGAAGAGCCACAGAGAGAGAAAAGCTATTCTTGTTTTGTTCCCATACTGCTTGTAATGTTGCCAGTCAGAGGGAAAATACTCTTTGGTCTGTGCTGAGCCAGATCAAACCATAGACATACATTTTAATTTTGTTAAACTGGAAAATAATAAATTGTTAAGAGGCTTGTACACTCAAAATCTCTTACTAACAACAACAACAAAATGGTTAAGGGACTTCCTCCCCCAACTTTACAGCATCCCTTGGTACATCTCATTTTCAAATTAGTATCCAGTGTCCTTCCAGCAGAAGGAGTAAGGATTGGCATCATACTGTATTGTATGTAATATATTGTGTAGTACTTCAAATTGAACAATTTTGCATTATTGATCAAGACAAACCACTGAAATCATTTCAATTAAAATCATGAACAAGGATTTAAATCCAGTAACGCTTAAGAACAAGGTTAGTGCATTAACCCAGTGAATCAACACCATTTCAAAAAATACGTTTTTTAACAAATTTTGTGGTGGGCCAGCACATTCACCAATGCATGTTCAGTTTTCATGTTAAGTAGTTGCTTGCTCTCAACCTTGACCCACCATCCATTTTAAAAAGAATGCAGAGGAAGGGGGGGAGGGGAGAGATTTTGTTATGAAGCCCTTAATAATTGTGCCCATTATTTCTACCACATGATTTCCAAGCTCTGGCTGCTGATCTATCTAGTGACTGATGGCATATGGAATTATAGCCCTGGGTCTGGTCCTGAATGTCACGAGTTAAATTCTCTCCCACAAATGCTTACATAAATTTATTCACCCAGAATGCACATGTGCACCTGCAGTGGGTTATTGTTTAAATTTAGATATGACTTTATAGATTTTTAAATACCATAAATCAAGAGTCAACGAAGGCTGCTGTTGGAAAAAAGATGACAAAACATGCTTTCCCAGAGTAAAAGCAGCAAGCACTCTTTTGTGGTG